CCCTGATACGGATGTCAGGCAAACTACAAGAACAACCACAGCAACGAGAACGTGTCGAACGAAACACTCAATGAACATAACAATAGCTCAGCAAGTGCGTTTTTGAAACATTGCACATTTTCAAGCCACCCTGCAAAGCAATGCTAGAAATCACCAAAACTTATACGTGGTCTGAAAACGTGAACACTGACAGCGAATTATTCAAGTTTTTATTTGGAACTCAACGCTGCTAGCGCTTTCGTATGTTATGCTGGAGTTGAGTTCTAGTGCCATAAGAAAAAATTATTTCAATTTTAATCGAATTTTTCCTTGGCGTTGCCGTCCTGTCTACATTTAAGGTCTCGAATCGTCGCCGCTTTTGTCATAGAATCTTAGCTGGGTCTCTGTCAGCTGCCTCAAGGACGGTTCCTATCTGACAAACCCGGCCATTCTCTTTTCAGTGCTTCTTCAGTGCAGGTAGTTTTTGCCACAATTGATACTCAACATTTTATCTTCATATTTCACGGTCACGAATTCTTCATTGTTGATAATAACAAGAGAAGATCCTTCCATCAGGACTTGATCCACTTCGTAAATATCTACACAGCCACGTTAAGTTGTCCTTAGCAAAGTGCGATCGACAATACGGTATTCGAGCCCAAGTTTGTTCAGCCCCCTTACAAATTTCCATAAACGGCGCTGAAACAAATCAGTGCAGCTATATCGGGAAGACCTTGTGGCTCCACAAAAGGTTTCCCTGGGCACATCTTCCAGTATGCGACGCAAGCTGTCCATGCTATTCTATTCTCAGTTACGATCCGAAGTATCGCTTGTTTATTGGCAAAATTTGTATATTCAGGAATCTCGTTTGAGCCCTCTAGTTTTCCTCGATCGGCGCGCGTGATTCTAGGTGTCCACGCGCAAGGACCGAGCTTTGTTATCTCCAGATCGACCTTCGATCGTAGAAAAATATTCCAACACCGATAATTTCCCAGAACCGTCAATTAATCTTCCTATTTTTTTTAAACACATCCTTTCTAATCACAAATGGAACTTGTACGATATTACAGGTTTGTACAAGCGCATCAGTTGTCCCGGTTTCACTGTCGAAGTCAAGCTGAGAGATTTTTGTCATGCGACGTTTTCCATAGGGCCTGTATTTCTAATGCGAACGCTCCACATCTTTTTTAAAAAACCATACCAAGACGGATCTAACCAGAAATTCCCAGAGGCTTTGATTCTATGGCTTTTCCGCTGTTGCATACAAGTTGCACCATAAAACTGCTTCCTTGAACTAAGAAAAGCAGTCTGGCAACTTCCCAACAGAATGTTTGTTTTCCTCTTCCAATTCATGATCAATATCCTTCTATGAAGTTGAATACGGCAAAATTAATATGTAGAAAGCAATGCTATTTACCGCACTGGAATGAGTCAGTACCGAATGAATAACAGCCATTGAATCTCTCCAGGAAAGAGCACCTCATTTTAATTAGAAACGTTAATTCTGATTATTTGCATTTTCATTTAAGGATCGTGGTAATTAAAATTTTCCCTCAATTTCTAGATCAGATAGGGAAAAAAGAAATAGCTAACACACGAACAGAATATGAAAAATGACAAAAATAAAAAATATTTTCGCTTCCATCCATCGCAAGATACGTTAACGTTTAAAGGGTTAAAAATTCTCGATAGAAATTATTGTTGCCTCAATTTGGTACGATTGCTTCAATAGACAGATCTACCACAGTTCGGAGCCAGCAAAAGGGGATGAGTTGGCGCCTAAGCTGTTATGATATTATGATCGTAATTAACGCTGGGGAAAATATTTTTGTTTGACCAGTTTCCTTTGAAAATTAGTTATATTCGGCACTTTAAGCCGTGTAACCATGGTTTCCATTCACGACCACAACCATGACGAGGGTCTATTGCGTGAAAGGATCCCTATATGTTCAATCGCTTGTCGACGAATTTGGATATGAAATATCTTTCAGCAGTTTTGGAGAAGCTTGAATGTTTATTTTGGTGAGGTAGCATATCAAACTATGAAGGTTTCACGCACTTTTTTCGACGTAGATGTTAATTGATCCATCTCCTATTGACAAATGATCATTGAGCTAGGGATCGTACGTATTGTCTTTTCTTCTTTCTCAAAAAGGGAGAAATTATAGCTCTCATTCAAGAACAACGATCGAAGAAATTTCATTTCAGCGAGAGACAGCGTATCATTTTTAACTCGGAAATGGCTGAAAGCCATTTGGTAGCTGTTGCTTGGACCTAAAATTTACTCCTTACATCCATAACTCAACGTTCCTGTTAACGTTTTGGTAAGTCCAATTCCTGCCGAGGTTCAATTGCTAGCTGAGGATTTTCCAAAATTTACAGTTTGTAGAGAAATAACGGGTGTGTGAGAGAGACAGCTGCGTGAGATTTGAAGATCAGCAGAGTTTACTAAAGAATAAAGAATGGATTGAAATTTAGAATGCGCGATGTGTGAGCAAACCTCACCTGAGGTGAATCAATAAAATATACTGTTTAAGAGCAATAAGACATCTTCTATATCAGTGTTTATAGGTCCTCTGCACAACGCCTCGTTTTGAAAAAGAGGCAAGGTGTAATTCGGAAATGACCTAAAACAGAACGCCTTTAAAAGCACACACAAACCACAATTCCTCTATTCGCTCCGACGAAGGGCTAAKGCTCGAAACGTCAGCTTTGTTACGGTGGCCAATTTACCATTTCAACTTTGTTGATATAAAAATTATCCAAATTAAAACAGAACGAGCCTCATTTGGTCTGGTTTCCGTAGTACCCAGAATTTCCCTTAGCTATGCATGCACGTTCATTCATTCATAGTGTGGCATGTCTCTTGATCGTAAAGGTGTTTGATCAAAACACATGTACATTTTGAAGCAAAACGGTAATGAACATTATGTCGCTGAAAAACAATTTCCTGAATTTTCGTTCTCGAGTAAGAGCTATAGTGAATCAACACCTCTGTCAAAAATTGCATGGGACAACACGGACCCTTGTAATTTTAACATTTTGTCTCATCACTGACTGCCGCAATAAAGTTCAAATCCAAATCCGTCGACGAGCGATTGGGAAACATGAGGATTTCTTTACGCAAGAGATCCCCTGTCATGATGATCATCATGAATGGAAACTATGGTTACGCTCCTTGCTATACAGAATAAAACTAATTTTCAAAGAGAACTGTCTAACAAAAACATTTTCCTCAGCGTTAATTACGATCATAAAGTCTTTACAGCTTAGGCCCCAGTTCATCCACTTCTGCTTGCTCTAAATTGTTGTAGATCCATAAATTGGAACCAATCGTACCAAATTGTGGCAGAAAAAAATTGCTATCGAATCTTTTTTACGCTTAAAAAGTGGGCTTCTCGTACAATGGGATGGAAGCGAAAACACTTTTTATGTTTGTCGTTTCTGATACTTTCTTCGTACCTTTTTTACTTGTGTTTCATCAATTTGAACTTGAAATGGAGAGAACACTTGAAACGTAATGACTCCAAAGTGAAAACGCAAACACTCAGGATTTCGAACACAGCAAAGTTTGTTTCTTATTCAAATGAGACGTCCTCTTGGAGAGATTCAATGGCTTTCATTCATTCGGATATGACCTATTCCAGTGCGGTGAATAACAAGGCTCTCTACATATTAATTTTGCCGTATTCAACCCAAGAGAAGGATATTGATCGTGAATTGGAGGAGGAAAACAAATATTCCGTAAGTAAGTTGCGTGAATTTCTTCGTTCAGGGAAGCAGTTTCATGGTGCAACTTGTATGCAACAGCAGAAAAACCATAAAATCAAAGCTTCTGAGAATTTGCAATTAGATCAGTCTTGGTGTCGTTTTTTGAAAAAGATGTGGAGCGTTCACATTAGAAATGCAGGCCCTGTGAAAAACGTCGCATTACAAAAGTCTGGTCAGCTTCACTCGGACAGTGAAACTGGGACAAGTGATACGTTTGTACAAACCTGTAATGTCACCCAAGGTCCAATTGTGATTAGAAAGGACGTGTTTCAAAAAATAGGAGGATTAATGGACGGTTTTGGGAAATTATCGTTGTTGGAATTTTTTCTACGATCGAAGGGTGATCTGAAGATAGCAAAGCTTGGTTCTTGCGCTTGGACACCCAGAATCACGCGCGCGGATCGGGGAAAACTTGAGGGCTCAAACGAGGTTCCTGAATATACAAATTTTGCCAATAAACATGCGGTACTTCGGATCGTAACTGAGAATAGAATAGAATGGACAGCTTGCGTCGCAAACTGGAAGATGTGCCCAGAGAAACCTTATGTGGAGCCACGAGGTCTGCCCGACGTAGCTGCACCGATTTGTTGCAGCGCCGTTTTATGGAAAATGCTGAGCGATTTTGTAATGGGGCTGAACAAACTGGGGCTTGAATACCGTATTGTTGACGGCACCTTGTTAGGGGCTGTCAGGAGTAAAGCGATCATACCATGGACATACGACATAGATATTGCACTACCTACTGCTGTGTATAAGAATGCTTCAACGTATTCTACCCTAGAAAAAGTTCTCGAAAACCAATACTATGCCGGGATGTCTTTCATGAACATGCCCAGGGGACATATTCTTGTGCCCCCATACATAGACGTAAATACAGCCCCTTATTTTGACGGGCCTGACGACTTAGAGGGCAAAGCATTGTTCAGCAGAGAATTGGAAGAAGCGGTGAAGGGAATGTTGCCAGTGTCTCATCATTGGAGACAACGAGGCTATGTGGATTTTTACGAGGCAGGTCACGCTCTAATGGAAGGATCTTCCCTTGTTACTATCAACAATGAAGAATTCGTGACCGTGAAAGATGCGAATAAAATGCTGAGTTTCAATTACGGCGAGAACTACCTGCAACCAGCATTGAAAGGACAGTGGTCTGGTTTGTCAGATAGCAATGGTTTCTGAGGGAACTAACAACAACAACAACAACAACAATTTTATTGATTTACAACAATTTTGATCATTGATTTACAATTTACAAGTTTACTTTACAATTTGAGAAATGCCCACCCACAAGTTGAAACCTAGTCGAGGCGAGCGTAGGGCAAAATATCGACTGGACTGGACTAGACTATTTTTTGGACGATTTTTTGGACTATTTTCTTTGAAAGATTTTTTGGGACATTTTCTAGGGAGGGAGGCACACCCTTAGTACTCAGGGAGGGGTGGGTGCAGTCGACAAGTACTGAGGGAGGGGTGGAGGAAGAGTGTTATTACTGAGGGAGAGGTGGTAGGTGGTTGTAATTGTAAACACTACTGGTTAAAGAAAGCTTTTAGTCGATCGTAATAACTATTTTCATCGGTTTTTTGACTGACTTCTCCTACATCAACATTTAGCGCTGGGCCACGGCGTTTCTTTAACTTTTTAGCCATGCGAAAGCGAAACTGGCACGTAAAGACTGGACTTTAATTCTTATTGAAAATATCGCGTTTACGATCCTCCAGTTGAGTTACCAGTGTGGCATAGGTTATGCGTGTGCCTTTTGAGTCGACTTGTGCACCACCAGTTTTCCTTTGTGTATTTACCAGATTTATCTGTCTTTCTTTTATCATTGATGTTATCAGACGAGATCACAGAATTTCCGTTCCTTGGCCCTTGACTTTAGCCGCAAATATAGCAGCAGTTCAGATTACACTAAGATAAAAGTAGTTCAAATTACAATAAATAGTAAATTAAAATTAAAATAATAAATTAATTTAATGATAATAATAACAGGAAATAGAAAAAGACTTCGCTATACTGGTCGTAGCTAGAGGATTGATGAGGTTTACCAATTTTTAATTTTTAACGTAGATATAGTTTAAATTCTAACACAAATACGACGAAAAGTTTGAAGTTAGGGACCTTATATTAGGGACCCTAAGAAACCACAACGGCGACGCCAAGGAAGACTTCGATTAAAAAATGAATTTCTACTCTTAGTTAGAATTTCAAAAATGGCTGCAGGAGCTTACTGTCTCATACAGCGCCACAGCTCAATTTCAGCATGACGTATAAAGTAGCCGTTGAGTTCCAAATGGAAATTAAAATAATTTGCCGTCGCGGTTTCGGTTCGCAGACGACGCAAATTTTGGCGATTTCACGTTGTTGTTTTGCATAGGACGGCTAAGAAATGTACAAAGTTTCAAAACGCACGTGCTGAGCTATTGTTCTGCCAATTAGATCTCTTGTTTTTCCACGTCCTCGTTGCCGTCGCCGTCGTGGTT